TATATATATATATAAAACATATATGAGTGGAATAGAAATGGTCAAATTTTACACTATACAGTATGTTATTTATTTTCAGGAAAATGAATGTTTTCACTTTAATCTTACATCTTGCTACTAGTATACATTAAGCAGTAGAAACCCCATGCTTGGTATTTGGAATGACTGTTAAAATTCTGTTTCTGACATCTTTCCCAAGTGCTCCCCTGTTTCTAGGCTTTCTCCACATCTCTCCGTCTCTTCCGCAGTGTTGCCTCTGGTTGAATAGGGAGAAGATAAGGAAAACCAGTTATAATTATTTCAAAATTGTTTGCCCAGCTTGGAGATTTTTTTCAAGCCCTTTCTTTTTTTTACTTAAAATTTTTTTGTAATCAACAATGGTTTTTGTTTCGTTTCGTTTTGTTTTTTTTAAGGCAGTCTTGCTCTGTGGCCCAGGCTGGAGTCTAGTGGCACAATCTTGGCTCACTGCAACCTCTGCTTCCTGGGTTCAAGTGATTCTCATGCCTCAGCCTCCTGAATACCTGGGACTGTAGACGTGCATCACCATGACCAAATACTTTTTTACTCTTTTGTATTTTTAATAGAGAAGGGGTTTCGTCATGTCACCCAGGCTGGTCTAGAACTCCTGAGCTCAGGCAGTCCCACCTTTACCTCCCAAAGTGTCAGGATTACAGGTGTGAGCCACTGTGCCTGGCCTGTTTTTATATACTTTAAAGTTTAAATTAAATTTGTTAAAGTATATTTTGTATGATTTGCCAAAACAAAACATTGTTTGGAATATAGTAGCTGTTGTAAAGCCTTTTTTTTTTTTTTTTTTTCACATGAAAGTTTTTAGTTTATTAAGCTTCTCGTGAAAAATCCACAACGGCCATAGATAACATCATTGCAGCACCTTTACTCCTTTGGCTGTGATCCAATCTCCAGCTCACTTTTTGCCAGCACCAACATTGGCCTTTGCATTCCCCCTGACTTTCTTCATTCTGTTCTTGCGTTCCTTTCGTTGCTTTCTTGAGGTCTTTTTCTTCTCATACAGGCCATGTCTTGCAAGTCTATGTTTGGGTTCATTTTTCTTTGCATAATCCAGGGAATCATAAATCATGCCAAAGCCAGTTGTCTTGCCACCACCAAAATGAGTTCTGAATCCAAATACAAAGATGACATCCGGTGTGGTCTTGTACATTTTGGCTAGTTTTTCCCGAATTTCTGTCTTAGGCACTGTTGCCTTCCCGGGGTGAAGGGCATCAATGACCATTTGTTTCCTCTGAAGCAGTCGGTTGGTCATGAACTTTCTAGTGCGGATAGTTACTGTGTCGTTCATGATGGCGGCCTATCCTTACACAGCCGGGGAGGAAAAGAGCTTTTTTTTTTTTTTTTTTTTTTTTTTTTTTTTTTTTTTTTTTTTTTTTGGAGACGAGGTCTCATTCTGTTGCCCAGCCTGGAGTGTAGTGGCACAGTTATTGCTCACTGTCACCTTGGCCTTCCAGGCTCAATTGATCCTCCCATCTCAGCCTCCCAAGTACTGGGACTAGAGTTTTGTGCCACCACGCCCAGCTAATTTTTAAATTTTTTGTAGAGATGCGATTTTACCACATTACCCAGGCTGTTCTGGAACTCCTAGGTTCAAGTGATGCTCCTGCCTCTGCCTCCCCAAAATGCTGGGATTACAGGCATAAACAACTATGCCTGGAGTCAAGCTGATTTTTTTTTTATTATACTTTAAGTTCTGGGGTACATGTGCAGAACTTGCAGGTTTGTTGCATAGATATACATGTGCCGTGATGGTTTGCTGCATCCGTCATCACCCTGTCATCTTACGTTAGGTATTTCTCTTAATGCTATCCCTCCTTTAGCCCCCCACCCCACCTGACAGGCCACAGTGTGTGATATTCCCCTTTCTGTGTCCATGTGTTCTCATCGTTCAACACCCAGTTATGAGTGAGACTATGTGGTGTTGCCATTTTCTGTTCTTGTGTCAGTTTGCCGAAAATGACGGTCTCCAGCTTCATCCACATCCCTGCAAAGGACAGTAACTCATCCTTTTTTATGGCTGCATAGTATTCCATGGTGTATATGTGCCACATTTCTTGAAGTCTCTTTCTTCATCTCCTTTCCCACCCTGTACTCATCTTCCCTTGAAGACCACAGATAAATTTCTTAGATATCATAGGAAAAAATGATGCCTATACATTAAAAAAAAAATGGAATCATGGTGTAAAGAGTGTTTCTATGTCATTATTTAAACAAACACTGAACTTTGTATCTTGGAATGCTTTCTGTATCAGACATACAGATTGATATGGTCTGGCTCTATGCCCACCCAATTCTCATTTTGAATTCTTACATGTTGTGGGAGGGACCTGGTGGGAGGTAACTGAATCACTGGGGCAGGTCTGTCCTGTGCCGTTCTTGTGGTAGTGCGTAAGTCTCACGAGGTTTGATGGTTTTATGAAGGGGAGTTTCCCTGCATAAGCTCTCCTCTTTTGACTGCCACCATCCATGTAAGCTGTGACTTTGCTCCTCCTTGCCGTCTGCCATGATTGTGAGGCCTCACCAACCTTGTGGAACTGTAAGTCAGTTAAACCTCTTTCTTTTCTAAATTACCCAGTCTTGGATATGTCTTTATCAGCAATGTGAAAATGAACTAGTACACAGTTCTACTTTAGGTACACATTTGCTTTACCATGTTCTTTTTTAAATGTGCCTCCTGTGAAGGTGCCAGATTTTACTTAACTAGTTGATAGGAAGAGTTTCCAGGTTTTTGTTATGTGTAACACAGTGCTACAGTAAACATTTTTGTACATATGTCTTAGTGAACTTTCATGAGTAACCGCCTTATTCTCTGCAGCCTTAAAAAAAAAGAATGACTTTCGAACTACTCTGAGTAATGATTTATCACGTTAAAAATTTTCTTGGTTGCTATATTAGCTTTAATACTTTCATTAAGGCTGGATGTTTTGTATTCTGATGTAGTCCTGTGATATAATTTCATACAATTAAGGAAGCACAGATTTTTAATATTGCACATAGAATATTAGGCTCATAAAGTTTATAAAGGCAAAGGTTTGGCTTTATAAGCCTGTAACTGTATAGTCCCACAGGGCCCTTGCATGGTTCAATCATCTGCTGTTGTAGTCTTGATATTCTTAATTATTTTTGAACTCAGAACCCACATTATCATTCTGCACTGGGTGTCACAAATTATGTAGCCAGTCCTATAAAGACTTTATAAAAATTCATAGTAAGAACCCCTCATCTCCTCACCTCCTAACCCCATTCCCTGTGAGTGACTGCCATCAATAGTTTATCCACTTGGGGACTTTTTAGAATGTGTTATATAAACAACATTGCATATTATGGTTGAGCCGTTAAAAAAAAACACACACTTTATTTGAAATCCACACAGAGTCAATGTGTATTTTCTTGAAAAACTTCATAATGGATCAGGACTGCTACAGATGTTAAGAAAATAGAGGCTCTAAAAAACTTAGCCTTAAGAAGCTGGTACTGAACTGTAGTTTTAGAATTTGTATTGGTTTTTTTGTTTTTGAAAAGTATGCTTAACTTGAAGCTTTAGTGAAACAACCTAAGTTTCAGTGTTAAGATAGCTATCTGTGAGATTTCACCTTCCAAAATGAGGTAAAACCTTAAAGCTCATCATAGGTAGTCAGGAATGAAAATAAAGTTTATTCATCCATCAGGTTCAATTGAATAAGGGATTCACTAGGATTATTTGGTGCTTTCTTTACTTAAAAAGTGGTCAGAATTCTTGGTGACGTAAAAGGGCTAAGGATTCTTAGAAGTAGCTACAGAAAATGGGTAAGGGGAGAGTGAGCTAACACTGGTTAACAGTTCTAATCTGTTTGGGCACTGTGTTCGGAACCTTAGGTAAACCATTTCATTAAAGCCTCATAACAACTCTGAGAAAGATGGGTTGATTGTCCTTTACAAATGAAGCTACAACTCAGAGACCCCCAAAAACTTGCCTGTGGTCACAGGTGATACATGGCAAGGCAGGAGCCCAGACTTCCATCCTTACAACCTAAAGGTCATGTTCTTTCCACTGCCCTACTCTACCTAGAGATTTATTCATTCTTAAAATGTTTGTTGACTGCCTCCAGTGGGCTAGGTACAGATGCCGAGAAGGATTAGACATGCAGGAAGTTCATTGGGGGAATAAGGGTAAAGAGAGAGGAGGCAGGAGTAGTGTATAGGAAAAGCCTTTTGACTTCCGCTCGGTCTGATTCCTGTGAAAGGGGAGAGGAGAAGAAGGGTAGGTAGGAACAGCCTTAGATCAATCACTGTACGGTTCTGAGAAGGTCTTGACCAAGCTGATAGGGAATTCCCATGCTGAAGCTGTGCATCCTGCATCGGCAGAAAGACCTGAGTCTGTTATCCCTTTCCAATTAAACCATTAGTTGGGGGCAGCCTGATGGAAGCATGGCTTGGTGTCAGTGCTGTTGTGGCTCTGAACATGCAGCAACTTGAGGCTCTCAGCTTGACTTCCTGTAGCAGCGTCTCTTGAAGGCTGAGCAGGGCACCCTCACAGTGGCTGCACACTGTCCTGTCCTGGTGGGGGTGGGTAGAAAGACCGATAATATAAATAAGCAAGTAGATGTATATGTGAAGTGAAAACTAGTGCTAAGGGGAAAAACAGAGTGGAAGATGGAGCATTGCATTGTATGTGGTGGACAGGGAAAGGCTCTGTTGACACTTGAGCAGAGACCTGAAGAGTAAGAGAGAAAGACAGGGAGACAGCTGAGGAGCAAGGCATTTCAAGGGGTAGGGGAGAGCAAGTGAAAGACTCTGGTTCTGCATCCATGATGAAGGTAGACCTAGGAAGGTTTGCTGATGGACTGGATGTGGGATGTGAGAGCAGGAGCCATAGTGGCGTGGAGTTGCCCTTGACTGACACAGGGAAGGTCATGGCAAGGATAATGGTGGTGAGAATTCAGGGTTGTGTTTTTTTGCTTTAGACATGTTTTAAATTTGAGTTGCCAGTTAGAAACCTCATTGTCTAGTAGCTTGGTAGCATTAGAATTCCGGAATTAAGGAGAAAGAAGCAGGGTAAAGGGACGAAAGTGTGGAGCGGTCTCTGCATAGGTGGTATTTATAGTCATGGGACTAGAAGAGGGTAAGCCACGATTTTGCTGTTAAATAAGGCAGCCACAAGCCACATGTGGCTTTTGAACTTTGCATGTGGCTAATCTGAATTGAAATGTGCTGTGTCAAATACATGCCAGATGTCAAAGACTTAATGTGAAAAATTAAAATGTAAAATATATCATTAATCTTTTACCTTCATTATATTTGGAGTGATATTATTTTGGGTATATTGGGTTAAATCAAACTATTATTAAAGTTAATTTCACCTGTTTCTTTTTTAATATGGCTACTAGAAAAGTTATGTATTTTTGAGCTAGTCACCTAAGTTGGAGTGCAGTGGTTCATTCACAGCTTATTGCAGCCTTGATCTCCCAGGCTTAAGTAGTCCTCCCACTTCAGCCCCCTGAGTAGCTGGGACTATAGGTGTGCTGCTGCATCCAGCTGATTTACTTTTTTTTGTAGAGACTGGGTCTCACTATGTTGCCCAGGCTGAGCTCAAACTCCTGGTCTCATGCAGTCCACCTGCCTTGGCCTCCCCGAGTGCTGGGATTACAGGAATGAGCCACTGCACTTGGCCTAGAAAAATTTTTTTTGTTTGTTTGTTTGTTTTTGAGACGGAGTTTCACTCATGTTACCCAGGCTGGAGTGCAATGGCGTGATCTCGGCTCACGGCAACCTCCGCCTCCTGGGTTCAGGCAATTCTCCTGCCTCAGCCTCCTGAGTAGCTGGGATTACAGGGACGCGCCACCATGCCCAGCTAATTTTTTTGTATTTTTAGTAGAGACGGGGTTTCACCATGTTGACCAGGATGGTCTCGATCTCTTGACCTCATGATCCACCCGCCTCGGCCTCCCAAAGTGCTGGGATTACAGGCTTGAGCCACCGCGCCCGGCCTTGAAAATTTTAATTACATATGTGACTGGCGTTATTTTGCTCTTGGAGGCACTGATGGAGGAAGTGAATGGAAATAGAGAAGTCCAAGGACTGAGCCTGGAAAGCTGGGAAGAGAAGGAAGAGCCAGCAGAGGAGCCAGAGAGGGTGTGGACTAGGTGAGGAGAGGGTGGTGAGAGGTGTGGTTTGTGTGCGAGTGAGCTTCACTAAAATTTCTTTGGAACTTGAGTAAAAGGATAGTATCAGAAACTAGGTTGAATTAATATGTAACGTGTGGAATTGGTTATTCGTAGAAATGAGTTAGTCCTGAGATGGTCTGTAGGATCGGAATCTTTCCCTATATTGTTCTTGTTCTTTTTTTTTTTCTTTTTTTTTTTTTTTGAG